TTTTCATAAGTCTGGCTAGGGGTTTATCACTTTTAATCATTCTTTCAAGGAACCAACTCCTAGTTTCATTGATCTGTTCTATTTTTTTTTTTTTGTAGTTTCTATATCATTTATTCCTGCTCTAATTTTTATTATTTCCTTTCCTCTGCTGGCTTTAGGCTTCATTTATATTTCTTTGTCTAGCTCTTTCAGGTGTAAGGTTAGGTTGTTTATTTGAGATTTTTCTCTCGGATTGTCGTGTTTTCATTTTAATTTGTTGCCATTTTTTTTTTTTCTTTAATTTCCTGGTTGACCCATTCATTCTTTTTTTTTTTTTTGGATTTATTTATTCACTTTAGAGAGAGAGAGAAGAAGAGCATGAGCAGGAGGGGCAGAGGGAGATGAAGAGAAAATCTCAAGCAGACTCAGCACAGAGCCCAACACGGGGCTCAGTCTCACTACCCTGAGATCATGATCTGAGCTAAAACCAAGAGTCACACGCTTCACTGACTGTGCCACGAAGGCACCCCAGATCCATTCATATTTTAGTAGCATATTGTTTTGCCTATATGTATTTGTGGTCTTACCAAATTTTTTCTTGTGCTTGACTTCAAGTTTCATAGCAAGTGGTCAGAAAAGATGCATGGTATGATCAGTCTTTTTGTAGTTGTTGAAGTCTGAGTTGTGACCTAGTATGTGATCTGTTCTTGAGAATGTCACATATGCACTCGAGAAGAATGGGTATTCTGCTGCTTTAGGATGAAGTGTTCTGAATATATCTGTGAAGTCCATCTGGTCCAGTATGGCATTCAAAGCCATTGTTTCCTCATTGATTTCCTGCCTAGATGATATGTCCGTTGATGTAAGTGGGGTGTTAAAGTCCTGTAGTATTACTGTATTAATATCAATGAGTTTCTTCATGTTTTTTATTAATTGTTTTGTACATTTGGGTACCTCCCTGTATTGGGGGTATAAATATTTACAGTTGTTAGATCTTCCTGTTGCATAGTCCCCTTTATTATGATATAGTACCCTTCTTCATCTCTTATTATAGTCTTTGGTTTAAAATCTAGTTTGTTTAATATAAGTATTGCTACTCTGGCTTCCTTTTGATGTCTGTTTGCATGATAAATGTTTATCCATCCCCTAATGTTCAATGTGCAGGTGTCATTAGGTCTAAAATGAGTCTCTTGTAGGCAGCATTTAGATGGGTCTTGTTTTGTTATCCAGTTTGCCATCCTGTGTCTTTTGATTGGAGCATTTAGTCCATTTGCATTCAGAACTTTTGATAGCTATGTATTTATTGCCATTTTATTACTTGTTTTGTCGTGTCTGGAGATTTTCTCTGTTCCTTTCTTTGTCACTTTTGTTCTTTTCTTTCCACTCAGATAGTCGCCTTTAGTATTTCTTGCAGGGCTGGTTTAGTGGTCACAAACTCCTTTAGTTTTGTTTTCTCTGGGAAACTCTTCATCTCTCCTTCTCTTCTGTATGATAGTCTTGGTGGATAGAGATTCTTGGCTGCTGATTTTTCCCATTCAGCACTTTGATTATATCATGACACTGTTCTGACTTACTAAGTTTCTGTGGAGAGATCTGCAGCTAGTCTTATGGGTCTTCCTTTGTAAGCTCAGTACTTCTTTTGTCTTGCTGCTTTTAGGATTTTTTTCTTTGTAGCTATATTTTGCAAATTTAATTATAATAAATCTTGGTATTGGCCCACTTTTGTGGATTTTGATGGGAGTCCTCTGTGCTTCAGGATCTGGATGTCTGTTTCCTTCCCCAGATTAGGGAATCTTTCAGCTATTATTTCCTCAAATAAATTTTCTGCCCCCTTTTCTCTCTCTTCCTGTTCTCGGACTTGTATAGTACGAATGTTCTTTCGTTTGATGGAGTCACTGAGTTCTCTGAATCTATTCTCCTGATCCATAATTCTTCTTTCTCTCTTTTGCGGCTTTGTATTTGTCTGTTATTTTACCTTCTATATCACTTATCTGTTCCTCTGCTTCTTTCATCCTTGTGTTCATTGTATCCAGTCTGTTTCAGATCTTTTCTATAGCAGTTTACATTTCTGTTTTGTGTGTTTTTTTTTAACTCTTTTATCTCTCTGGTAAGGGCCTCCCTGAAGTCTTCCATTCTTTTCTCAAGTCCAGTCATTATCCTTATGATTGTTGCTTTCAGTTCTCCATTCAGGCATGTTATTTATATCTGTTTCAGTTAGATCTCTGGCTGTGACCTTATCTTGTTGTTTCATTTGGGATGAATTCCTCCGTCTTGGCATTTTGCCTAAGTGTCTGGCTTTGTTAGAAAATCTTGTTCCGTTTCCTGCTTTTGAGTGTATTGGCTTTATGAAGAAGAGGTCATATAGTACCCAGGGCCTCGTGCTTCAGGGCATGTGTCTGGTGCATGCTCATGCATTCTGCTGCTTGTTTTGGCTGCTGTGTCCTTCAGGCCAGTTATCTGCAGAGTCTATCCTTGCCTTCATTGGGCAGTGTTTGGTCCTTGGGCAGAGTGCAGTGAATTTAACTAGGTGTACTCCGGTCTGCTTGTTAAATGAGACCCAATACTACTTCCACTAGACCTGAATCTTTGCATAACTCTCTGGTCAGGAGATGTTGTGGCTGGTTTTCTGGGGAAGGGTCCTGTCAAGCTAGGACTGAGTCAAACTTGACAAAGAAGTTCAGTAGGGGTAGAGTGCAGGGGTGTTGGACCTGGTATAAGCCAGTTAGGCAGCCAGTGTAGGTGCTCTGGTGTTTATAGCAGTTGGTTCTTTTTTTATGCTGAGGGGTGGGGGAGGGAAATGGAGCCAGGCAGCTCCATTGTCCCTGGAGAGGGTTCTTGTTGTTCTCAGGAACTCAGTTTGAGAAGAGGGAATTATCTCCCCCCTGTGTGTCCCAGGTGTTCTTTAGATGACTGTCCGCCCCCAGGTGGTTTGCCTGCCTTCTCTCCAGGATCAGTGCAGTTTGCTCTCCAGGCTCTATCCCAGCCATGCTGTGGATCTCTAAAACTCTAGTCTTCAATCCCTGCTGGTTGCAAAAACTCACAAAACTCTGCCCCTTTTGTTTTCCCAGCCAATGGAATGTGTTCCCCTGTATGCTTCTCTCTCCCTTGCCTTTCTCCCAGACCAGGGCTCCCTCCCCTCCACAGCATGAGAGATCTGTTTTTCCCCCAAAGCATGTTTCTGCACTTCCTGCCTTCCTCCATGTGGCCTCTTCTCTCCCTCTAGTTGTGTAGTTTGTTCTGTCAGTCCTCAGGTTGATTTCTTGGGTATTCAGAATGATCTGATAGTTATCTAGTTGTTTTCAAGGGTGAAGAGCTTAGGATCCTTCTGTTCCACCATCTTAGCTCTTCTCCCCAGCACTTTTTTTTTTTTTTTTGACATTTAAGTTATGTTACTCTTTCATTGTACCTCTTTTATTATAGTGTTTATTGTATTAATTGTAATAAGACATTTTAAAAATACACTGAAAAGTGTACTCAGACTTACTTATAATTTATTGCTTTTTCCTGGCCTCCTATCTTGTGTTTTCTGCAGATTCAGTTTGTTTCGTGTTTACACACACACACACACACACACACACACCCTTGGCATGTAGAAACCATTTATTCTTCAATAATTTATTAGCACGTCTGTAGAGCAGTGCAGGAGGTGCTGTGAGGGACACATAAGTAGAGATGGTCTGGTCTTCCCTCAAGGGGATTAAAGTCTACTTCAGAAGATAAAGTATATCCTGGACAACCAAAGGACTATTAAAAGGAACTGATAAATAAATGCAAGGTAAACTGCATGTGTGTATTTTGGGGACATGAAGTAATAGAATGATACGTATGGTTGGTTTAAGGAAGTTTTTTGGGGAAATATTTAAAATTTTTCTTACAGTGGATAGATTGTTAAAGTACGTGCTTATTTTTGAGAATAGGAGAATTACGATATTATGGGGAGTGGGATGAATAACCCAGGAGACACAAATGATATGGTCCAAAACATGGAGATTGGAGTTAATAGATTCAGAGAGATGCTATGTCTGAAAACAAGAGCAGTAAGACCAGAAAATAGTTGATAAAGAAGGTGATACGGGTTAGAGGCAGGAAGAAGACTTTATGGGGTAGGGCTTAGAGACCATACAAGGAAGAGCTGCTCTAAGTTCTTGAGCAATCAGTTAGCAGGTGTTTACTTCCCAAGGCCTATCATTGGCATTTTTAGTGTTGCACAGTAGGACAACTCAATGAAATGTAGGTTCTGTGGAGGATAAACCATGAAAGTGAAATGCATAATGTGGGTAGATTGAACAGGAGCCTGTTTTATCAGTAGTAACTTTGGAATTGGGACTTCCAGTAGAGTAATAGACACTAAAACAAAATAAAGCAGGAAAGAAAAGAAAAAGATCCTCTTAGATACCACATTGTGATAAGCCAACTTAAACTTTATGGCAACTTTTTCTAGCTCTGTCCCATCATCAAAAATAATAATCTTTCATAACTACCATTGTTGAACATTTACTGTGTGCTAGGCACTGTGATAGGTTCTTTGCACATGACACCATGAAGACTAAACTGTTAATCTTCAAAACAACCTTGTGAGGTAGATGCTATTATCCATATGTTATAGATGGATAATTTAGATCAGAGAGGATAAATAACTTGTGTAAGTTCACAGAGTTACCTAATTACAGGGTCAGGATTTGAACATTGTCCTGTTTATTCTGAAGCCTGTGCTCATAAGCACTTTTGATTTGTTTCTAAAATACAATTCCCTTGATGACATTAAATTCTCAAAAGTGTACATATGACAGACCCTACTAAACTCTGAAATCTTTATGTGTATTTTTCAAATATTAATTATGTTTTATATTGTATTGGAACTTTAACAGATGGATGTTTAGTGTGTGGTTCATATAAGGCAAAATGTATACTGAACTTGATAATATAAATGGGGTAAAGAAATAAAAATCGCCATTAAAATAATATAAAAATGTAGCCAGTACAATATTCAAAAGTGTGTTGTTATTATGATTTCTCATTAGTCAGGATTTACATGAAGATGTTGAAGAAGCTGGTGCACTGCAGAAAAATCATGCTTCTGTGATATCTGGAAGCCCCACAGAAACTGCACATTCTGCCTATCTGCCTTCAGAAGATGAGTCATTATGCACTGGGAGCTGTGAAATGCCCACAGAACAAACTCCAAGCAGTGATCTAGAGACTGCCCTAGAAATAAACGATGTGGGAGTAACAGGGGAAAAAGAAAAACATTATGACGATAAAACTTGTGTGAAGTCAGCTTCAGAAGAAGAAACAAGTGAAAATGTGCCTATAGCAGAAGACACTGCATTGCCACCAAAGAAAAATAGGATTACTTACTCACAAATTATTAAAGAAGGCAGGAGATTTAATATTGATTTGGTATCAAAAGTAAGTACTAATTTTCTTCATCTTATCATTAGAATAATACTAATTTTTAATTGAAAATAGCATCTGGGACCATAAACGCAGTTACCATAATTTTATTTTTTGAAGTGTGGAACATTTGTTTTATAAAGAGATAGTAGCCAGAAATTTATACTTCAGTTAAAATATTCTTTAAATATAGGTTTAAAAATGCATTAAAAATGCTCAGTACTGTAGCACAAGAATACTTTTGTACTGGAGCAGAGTCCACTCTAATATTCTCCTACTGCATGGACACCAAGAATTCTATCAAGAGAAAAATTCTAATGAGCCTAATTATAAATTTATATTATATTTATAGTTAATTAAACGAACTTTTTTTTTTTTTTAGCCCTTCTATAACTATTTTAACATCTGTATGGGGGCACCTGGATGGCTCAGTCCTTAAACGCCTGCCTTCGATCTCAGGGTCCCGGGATCGAGCCCCACATCAGGCTCCCTGCTCTGCAAGAAGCCTGTTTCTCCCTCTCTCACTCCCCTTGCTTGTGTTCCCTCTCTCACTATGTCTCTCTCTGTCAAATAAATAAATAAAATCTTTTAAAAAAAATCTGTATGATGATGAACATTCTGAATAAACCAGTGCATTTTTGAAAATCACCTGTTCAGGTATGAGGGCTTTAGAGGATAATTTAATGGTTGATAGGGGAGGGAGACTGGAAACAATGCTATTCTTTGGTTATATTTCAGTCCCTAACTCTGACGTTAGGTCAGTGTAACTTCAGAGGAGGTCCCTGAGTCTTTGGAGAGTACAATGTTGTATTGGGTTTATAGGAAGCAAGGTTAATGTAGTGCAAAAAGAACAGAAAACCAGTAAGGATGGTCTTAAAAGGTTAGATATAGGGTGCGCCTGGATAGCTCAGTCAGTTAAATGTATGCCTTCAGCTCAGGTCTTGATCCCAGGGCCGATGGATAGAGCCCCACATCTGGCTCCCTGCTCAGTGGGGAATCTGCTTCTCCCTCTGCCCCTCCCCCCCCAGCTCCTGTGCATGCTCTCTCTCTTTCTCTCTCTCTCTCAAGTAAATAAATACAAATCTTAAAAAAAAAAGATACAGGGCTGGGAGAAAGTAGAAAAAAACAGACTAAATCCCATAAATTGAGGGCAAACAATAAGAAATTAAAAAGAAGTAGGAGAGTGTAGTAAATAATATTAGACTTGCCTCAAAACTAAGCTTTTCAATTTAATGTGCTCTCTTGAAGTTCCAAGTTACAGAGTAAAGAGAGACTAATTGCATATTCCTCACATTTTGCTGATACAATCCCATATACTCACACTGCTGCTCTCTTTGAACCTGATGCCTAAAAATATGAGTATATTTTTTAGTAAAAAAATCCTTTGTTTCTTTCCATCACATAGCTTTCTGTGTCTGATTCTTTCCTGCTCTTGAGTTGACTGCTACTTTGGTCCTACTTCATATTTCTGTGCCATCTATTCCACCTTTACCTACTGTGACCCTGCCGTGCTTTGAAATCTAGCATTTTTTCCATGTTACCTTGGCTCTTGATTTCTGGGTGGAAGTTTAATCATAGTTTATTAATGGTCTTCCTCCTCTCATGAACAGAAAATAAGTTTTACAAAACCAAAAAATAAAATAAGAAAACTGAAGTAGTCAAGTTACAAATGGGCTTTGTTCTGAAATTTTCATTTTTAGTTAGTTACTTGGAATATGGAATGCCTAATTTAAATGATGATATAAATGTTGGTTAAGAATCAAGACTAGTGCGGCGCCTGGGTGGCTCAGTCGGTTAAGCGTCTGCCTTTGGCTCAGGTCATGATTCCAGGGTTCTGGGATCCAACCCCGCATCGGGCTCCTTGCTCTGCAGGGAGCCCGCTTCTCCCCCCTCCTCCCCGCTTGTACTCCTCTCTCACTGTCTCTTCTTCTCTCTCTCTCTCAAATTAAAAAAAAGAATCAACAGTAGTTTATAATAGTCTCTAACCCTTATGGTAGCTGAAATACAGTATAAATATTGCAAAGGAAAATGGTAGAAGATGGTGGTGTATCAATTTTTGGAATTAGTGTAGAAAATTATTCACTTGTATGAAAGACAGTGAATGCTGATTGTAGTGGAGGGGGAGATAGTTTAATTAGATGCTAAGATGTCTGAGGAGACTTAAGATTTCTGGATATTTTCATGAGTTTCAGTGGATCACAATAGTTTGTCTTTTAGGGTAAATTAAAAACAGATGTGTCTAGAGAGGTCAAGGCAGTTTACTTTGTCCTGCATAGTAGTTTTCATGGTTTTATATATTTAAAAAAATAATAAATTCATCCTACAAAAGCAGCAGTAGCTAAAGAATGCAGAACCATTGCAATATAAGAGGTTTATTATCATTTTTTAATGTTAGTCATTTAGTGAATATTTACTGAGTACCTATGGTGTAGAAAGCCGTACATTCCATGATATTGGGGCAATCAGTTACTCCTTGGAAATTCTATCTGTTCTAGTTTCAGTTATTGCATCTAAATTTAGGATGATTGCCAAATATCTATTTCAAGCCCTACCTCTTTCCTAAAGTCCAGTTTGATGTCTCCAAACTACTTGACATTTCTTTTTTTTTTAAAGATTTTTATTGATTTATTTGACAGAGAGAGAGACACAGCGAAAGGGAACACAAGCAGGGGGAGTAGAAGAGGGAGAAGCAGGCTTCCCGCAGAGCAGGGAGCCTGATGCGAGGCTCGATCCCAGGATCCTGGGATCATGACCTGAGCCGAAGGCAGACACTTAACGACTGAGCCACCCAGGCGCCCCTACATTTCTACATGCATTCCATCTCAAAGTCATCATGGTAAAACTGACACACACATTACTGTAGTGCTTTACCCACATAAATATAGCCTTTTAAAAAGTAGTCTTATACTACTCAGGGTAGGTTAAATAAAATACTTAACATTTTTATGTAGTATATATATTATTATTATAGTATAATATTATACTGCTTAGAGTAATAGAGAAAATCAAAGTTGAAGGTCTTAAACAATTAAAACTCTTTTCTAAGAAAGTCCATACCCTTAATAATTATGGAACCAACATGGCCAAGTGAAGCAAAAATGATTAATTATTAAATCAATTATTAAATTGTCAAATTTTTTTTTTTAAAGATTTTATTTATTTATTTGACAGAGAGAGACACAGCGAGAGAGGGAACACAAGCAGGGGGAGTGGGAGAGAGAGAAGCAGGCTTCCCGCGGAGCAGGGAGCCCAATGTGGGGCTCGATCCCAGGACCCTGAGATCACGATCCGAGCCGAAGGCAGACGCTTAATGACTGAGCCACCCAGGCACCCCTAATTGTCAATATTTTAATGAAATTGAAGTATTCTTTTTATTTTTATTGAAGTATAATTAACATACAATATTATATTAGTTTCAGTTGTACAACATATTGATTGGACAGTTCTATACATTTACTAATTGCTCACCACTATTACTCACCATCTGTCACCAGACAACATTGGTATAATATTATTGACTATATTCCCTGTGCTGTACTTCTCATCTCCATGACTTACTTATTTTATAACTGTAAGTTTGTACCTCTTAATTCCCTTTATCTATTTCATTCACCCAACCACAGCCACCCATCTCCTCTCTGGCAACTACCCAGTTTGTTCTCTGTAGTTAAGAGTCTGGTTTTTTGTTTCTTTGTTCATTTGTTTTGTTTTTTAGATTCCACATATAAGTGAAATCATATGGTATTTGTCTTTCTCTGACTTATTTCACTTAGTATACTGCCCTCTAGGTCCATCCATGTTGTTGCAAATGGCAAGATTTCATTCTTTTTTATCACCAAGTAATTCCATTGTGTATATATATATATATATATATACACAACTTTATCCATTTTTCTGTTGAAGGATACTTGGTATTCTTTAGCCTCTCATCACTGAAATTTCTGTTACATCACTTAGAGAGTGGTGAAAAAGAGGCTTAGGTTTAAATACTTGTTATTACTAAGCTTCAGACAAAAGTTTAGTGTAGTTTTAATTGAAATGTGTTCTCAGTGTTATCTTAATGCATTATTTTAAGCTGGCATTAAATCTTAAGCTTTACTAAGATCTTATTAAGTGAAAATACATCTTATGTTTGTGTTAATATTTGTGAAATTATTATGACTACTGAGGGATCATTGAATTTCAAGTATTTGTTGAAACAGATTAGGTATTTGAAGTACCTATTTTTTATTATAATTACAGAATACTTGGCAATATATTCTTTTTTTTTTTTTTAAGATTTTATTTATTTATTCATGAGAGACAGAGAGAGAGAGAGAGGCAGAGGGAGAAGCAGGCTCCCAAGGAGCAGGGAGCCCAATGCGGGACTCGATCCCAGGACCCTGAGATCATGACTTGAGCCGAAGGCAGACACTTAACCATCTGAGCCACCCAGGCGCCCCATGGCAATATATTCTTAAAAACGGGCTATATCAGTTGTGTAGGGTATTAGGCTGAAGATAATGAAATAACATGCTATATTTAGTCAGGGTAATTGGATTAGTTTCAGAAAAAGAAGCAGTGCCAGCTTTGTTGTGTACAATGCTGGACTTTATAAAAATTCACCTAACTGATACTGATTTTCAAAGTCTTTACTGACCTCTTGGATACTCAGACTAACCAGTTTGGATTGATTTTTGAAATGCCCTTTTTCTTTGTAGTAAAGCTAATTGTTTTCTTTCCCTTCCCTATTACAGATGTAACATTTACATTTTTAATATTTATTTATAGACACTTAAAGGTATATCTGTATAGGACATAGCCAAATCTCTTGCATTTAACCATATAGTTAAATTTAGAACATGCTAGATAATACTGTTGAAGTTGTTTTTGTCTCTGATATTGGTTATGAGTGATGTGAATGGTTAAATCAATTCCTCACATGCATGCTGGCGATACCCATCATCCTCACTTCTTGAAAAAGACATATCATTTAAATCTAGCCTGCTAGGATTATAGAGGGACCTTAAAATTCAACTCTTGTGGTGGAAATGTATAACCAATCTTTTTCTTTTTTGTTTGGTGAGGAAGTCCAGCGAGCTGGTGTTTTCTTACTGACCACCTGTCGTTTTATAAGGCTACAGTCTCTTATTCAGAACCCTTGGGCCTGGTGTGTTCTGTTATTTAGATTTAAAAAATTATTTTAGAAAGTAATATAGTACATATGCTGATATGCTATAGATGTAACAACAGTCTTAGCAGAGTCTGAGGAGGCACTCTGTAATGAAACCTATTAATATTTCTGCAGTCAAATGTATGAATATTCACAGTAAGTGGGGCAAAGACAGAAGAGCCTCATATCAGTTTGGGTCATTTTGTTGCCTAACTAATTATGGAAAAACTTGATTCCAGAGTTTTTTGGGTTTTGAATTTCAGATAATCAATTGTAAACCTGTCGTAAAGTATGTTATGTATGACAGTATTAATAGGTATAATGCTTTTTACAAATATTTAAAAATGTAGTGGAATTATATATATCTTTATTTAGCATTTATCAGTTTTTCCACAATTTTACCTTTTATTTCATCCTGTAAAATATTCTCTTTGTACAGCTGCTGTATTCTCGAGGATTGCTAATTGATCTTTTAATCAAATCTAATGTAAGTCGATATGCAGAGTTCAAAAATATTACCAGGATTCTTGCATTTCGAGAAGGAAGAGTGGAACAGGTACTTGCTACTGAAGTATTGTAACTGGGTATGAGCTTAAGTTATTATGATATATTTTGGAAGGATAAGCAAATAGGATTGTTATTTTCCTGGCAAAGCAACAAATTCCAATCCTGCATGGTAAAAGTAAATAGTAAGAGATTACTCAGTTAAAATTTCTAGTGTTAATTTTTTCATGAGTTATTCTGCAGCCTGATGTTGGTGTTGAGAAAAGGTTAATATCAGGCAGTATTGCTAGATTTGAGCTGTCATTTGTACCCAGTTAGGGGTGACGTGCCATTGGCCTTTTAATGGCATAAGGAGCAACTTGGCAGAATTAAGTAAGAGAGCTCACAAGTTAATTAGCTCTGAAGCCAACAGAGATGCCATTAGAACTGATGGAAGGTAACATGAATGGCTAGCATGGAAATAATGATCTTGTTATAGTTAAAAGGAAAAGAAACGTAATTTGGAATACTTGTATCACTAGGAAGCAGTTTCTTAACTTAAAATCATGTTTTTCAGGTTCCTTGTTCTAGAGCAGATGTCTTTAATAGCAAACAACTTACTATGGTAGAAAAGCGAATGCTAATGAAGTTTCTTACATTTTGTATGGAGTATGAAAAACATCCTGATGAATATAAAGGTATTGTTTTCTATTAAATTGTGTTCTCTAGTTATTTGAGCTTTCTTATTTTAATATGCTTGCTCTGATGTAGTAAGCCACTCATTTCTCTGTTAAAGTACATTCTTACTCTGCACTATCCAATAGGTTAGCCATGAATAACATGTAGCTATTTAAATTAACATTAATTAAAATTAAATTTAAAATTCAGTTCCTCAGTTGGACTAGCCATATTTGAAGTGCTCAGTAGCCACGTGTGGTTATTAGCTACTATGGCTACAGTACAGCTATAGAATGTTTTCATCATTGTGGAAGTGCTATGCTGGGTGTTAGTTTTTATTCTTGTTAAGTAAATACTGCTGTCAACTAGTTCTTCATAGATGATACATTCTTTTCATTGTTCCATTAATTTTTTTCAGCAGTTAAAAAAATCTGTATATTTTTTTCATTTTCCCAGGATTACTTTTGCTTGGTATATTGAATTATTCATTTTGACTGATTAAGAAAAAGAGGCTAGATGGTATGGGGAGTGTATTAGAGGACATGGTTTCTAGTCTTGGCTTTGACCCAAATCATACAGTTACTTCAGAGTTTGTTGAAAATTGAACATCTCCGTTTAGTATCAGAGCTTTATACTTTTTAAGTGCTTTGGGCTGGAAACATTATCCAAAATAGGAATATTCTATTGATGTTTCATTTATAAGGTTACAATGAGAAATATAGCAGTATTTTTTTTTTTTTTTACTTGATGGAATATTAAAAGTCAGGCTCTTGCTCTTAAAGCTTCATGTCCATTAGATACTGCCAAATCGTTCTTCACAGTGGTGTAAACTTATGTTCTCTCAGTAAATTTTTATAATTTTTATGTTTTTTTCTTTCATCATGGAGTTGTATTTCCTACCACTAACAGTCCAGTTACATTTTTTTCTGTTCTTTAAATGAGTAGTTTTTAGGGGTCCCTTGTTTTGAGGTGTGATATAAGGCAGTAAGACTGATTCCATTAGCCACACAGAAATTAACTTCCTTACTTTTTAGTCATAGTTTATTGTTCTTAGTTTTAGTAAGAAATATACATTTCAAAAAAATTAAGTATCATTGTTTTCACCAAAAAATTGCCATTTGTCATATTTAATATTTCAAAGTGTAATTATTGACATTATTCTGCAGTTTTAATGATAATAAAGTTAATTATTGCCAATTATGGAAACCTGTTATGATGGTTAATGAATTATTTAATATTTTTCTAGTTTTTTAAGTCTGTAAACTACTAAAGATTCATCATTTAAAGCTTAAAAATTGTGCCATTAATTCAGTTAAGATAGTGAGATTGTTTCTAGTTTCTTTTTTTCCCCTAAAGTCTGTGGTTTCTGTCTAAAATGTAATATTTGCCACCTGGGTCTTTTGCCAAGTGTTTTGAACAGGCTTGATTTCTTTTGTGCAGTGTTTTTTAAATTGGAAGTTTGGTTCTGATTTTAACTGATAAATTTTTATCTTTACATAGCCTATGAGGAGATTACATTTTCTGAGTATTTAAAAACTCAAAAATTAACCCCCAACCTCCGGTACTTTGTCCTGCATTCAATTGCAATGACATCAGAGACAGCCTGCAATACCATAGATGGTCTCAAAGCTACCAAAAACTTTCTTCGCTGTCTTGGGCGGTATGGCAACACTCCATTTTTGTTTCCTTTATATGGCCAAGGAGAACTTCCTCAGTGTTTCTGCAGGTAAGACTGGCATTGGTTCTCTTGTTTCTTCTTAAGGTAATAAATAACAGATGAAAATTAAAAAGACAAAAATGAGATTTATTCAAGATTTAGTATATGCAAGCATAGTCTGTTGTTCTGCTCTTTTATAAATCTGTGTATTTGCCTACCTACCTGTCTGATATTCAGTTTGGCCTGTGTTTGAACTTCATAAAATAGAACCCCACTGTAAATTCCTTATTTCACTCAATATTAGTTTCAAAACACCATCCTTGTTTTGCACAATTATACTTTCATTGCTATGTAGTATTCCATTGTGAATATACCACAATTTATTTTTCCATTTTTCTTTTGGTAGACACAAGATGTTTCCAGGGGTTTCTTTTTGTTTGTTTGTTTTTGTTTTTTTGTTTTGCTTTTTGCTGTTATTAACATCCTTGTGTATGTTTCAGGATATGTATGTTCAAGAATTCCTCTATGATACATATCTAGGAGTGGAACTTCCAAGTCATGGGGTATATGAATGTTCATACAAGATAGTACCCAAATTTTTCTCCAGAACACTGTACCAGTTTACATCCCACAGCAGTATATAAGAATTTCCATAGGTCTACATCTTTGCCAACTTTTGTTATTAGGTTTTTAAGTTTTTGTCAATCTGACTCACATAAAATAGCCTCACATTATACTTTTATTTTGCATTTCATAGACTACTTATGAGGTGGAGCATCTTCTCATATGGTTATTGGATATTCATGTTTTCTCTTTCGTGAAATGCATGTTCCTGTGTTTTTCCATTTGTCCCTGTGTTATTGTATTTTCCTTACTGATTTGTAGGAGTTTTTGTTCTGAATACTAATCTTTTCTTAGTTGTATGTGTTGCTTTATGGTATTCATGATGCATGATGCATTAAGATTAGTCAAACATAACAATCTTTTTTTTTTTTATACTTAGCACTTTTAGGGTAGTGGAGCATGGTAGTTAAAAACCTGGACTATGGAGACAGACTACCAAGATTTAAGTCCTGGCTTCTCCATTCGTTGGCCATGTAACCTTGAGCAAGTTTTACAGTCTATAAGAATCAACTTTTTGGCTTTTTGATTCTTTCTATTACAGCTTTGTGTTCCTAGTTCATTAATTTCCATTCTTTATTATCTCCTTTATTTTGCTTTCTTTGGGTTTTGTTCAGCTCATCCCTCCCCTTTTCTGTCCCTGCCAATTCTTAGGAGGAAACCCAATGTTAAATATGTATCTTTTTTATTTTCTAATATAAGCATTTAAGATGATAAAGTGCCAACTCCTCTTTTGACCCTTCACAGTTATTATGTATTATTTTCATTATCTTTTAGTCTTAAATATCTTAATTTCCATTATGATTTCTACATTGACCCATGGATTGTTGAGGGGTTTTATTTTATTTATTTATTTTTTTAAAGATTTATTTATTTGACAGAGTGCACAAGCGGGGGGGTGGGAGAGGGAGAAGCAGAATCCCCACTGAGCAGGGAGCCTGATGCGGGGATCGATCCTGGGAGTCCGGGATCATGAACTGAGCTAAAGGCAGGCATGTAACCCACTGAGCCACCCAGGCGCCCCATTATGAGAGGTTTTAAAATAGCTGATTTGGTTGATTCTTTTGCTCTTACCATCTAATTTCATTGTAGAAAATTAATTTACGTCTGGAAAATATGTTTTTTTTTTTAAATTTAAATTCAATTAACCAACATAGTGTACATCATTAGTTTTTGATATAATGTTCAGTGATTCATTAGTTGTGTATAACACCCAGTGCTCATCACATCACGTGCCCTCCTTTAATACCCATCACTCGGTTACCCCATCCCCCCACCCTCCTCCTTATCCACAACCCTCAGTTTGTCTCCCAGAGTCAAGAGTCTCTCATGGTTTGTCTCCCTCTCAGATTTCTTCCCATTCAGTTTTTCCTCCCTTCCCCTATTGTCCTCTGCCCTATTTCTTATATTCCACATATGAGTGAAACCATATGATAATTGTCTTTATCTTATTGACATATTTCACTTAACATAATACCCTCCAGTTCCATCCATGTCGATGTAAATGGTAGGTATTCATCCTTTCTTATGGCTGAGTAATATTCCATTGTATATACGAACTGCATCTTTATCCATTCATCTGTTGAAGGGCATCTTGGCTCCTTCCACAGTTTGGCTATTGTGGACATTGCTGCTATGGAAAACATGTTTTTTTTTTTTTTTAAGATTTTATTTATTTATTTGAGAGAGAGAATGAGAGACAGAGAGCATGAGAGGGAGGAGGGTCAGAGGGAGAAGCAGACTCCCTGCCAAGCAGGGAGCCCGATGCGGGGCTCGATCCTGGGACTCCAGGATCATGACCTGAGCCGAAGGCAGTCACTTAACCAACTGAGCCACCCAGGCACCCGGAAAACATGTTTTTATGGTATTTAATACTTCGAGCTTTATGTTATGACTTAGTATGTCATCAGTTTTTGTAATTTTTCCATTTATGCTCAAGAAGAATGTGTTTAGTTCTTGGGCACAGGATTCTCCAATTATTGGTCTTGGAGTCTAATAAGGCAGGCTTTGAGTTGTAATTTGCAAATTCTTTTTGTAATTTGCAAATTTTATTGAGTTTTTTCCTTTGATCTACCATTAATAAAGTATTTTAAAATCTCCCATTATGATGTTTGATTTCTCAATTTCTCCCTATAATTCTGTCAGTTTTTACCTTATATTTATTTTGAGGCAATTTGTTAAGATCATTTAAATTTATAACTGTTTAATCTTCCTGATGAATGTAATATTTTACATTATTTGCTGACTTTCTCATCCCTAATAATGCATTTTTTTTCCTTAAAGTCTACTTTGTCTGATATTATAATAGCTACTACAACTTATTAGTATTTGCCTGTTTTATCTTTCTCCATCTCTGAGTCTTCTGAGTCTGTATTTGGGGCTCTAAATAGCAAATTAATGCATATTTTTAATCCGATTTGACAATCTCTGTCTTTTACCAAGCAGGATGAATCTTGTTAATAGGAGTCTATTCCTTCCTTTTGAAGTATCTAATTTTAAAAGTTCCTCTGGTTTACATCTGTTGGCAGTAAATGCCTAGTTTGTATATGAACATAACTTTTTTTTGCCTTTTTGTTTGAGGGAAGATTTGTGAGGAAAACATTTCTAGGTTGGCAGTTCTTTTTCTCAGTACTTTAAAATTTTATTCCACTGTCATTTGGATTCCTTCTTTTGCTGTTGAAAAATTGATGTCAGCCTAATGGTCATTTCTTTATAAATCATATTTCTTTTCTCTCAGGTTGTTTTTAAGATAGTTCATTTTTGGTGTTCTGTATTTTCACTACAGTGAATTTAGGTGTTTCTTTATCTAGCTTGGTATCGGTTAAACCATGTGTAATTAATAATATTAAACCATTTTGACCTACAATTCCATATGGTTCAAACAACTTCAGTGTATTTCCTCTGTCTGTGAATTGTCATTTGTCATTTTGGAAAATTGTCAGCCAGTATCTTTGCAAATACTGGTTTTCCTCCATTGTCTCTCTCCTTACTTTTTTGGAACCCTAACTAGAAATGTTTTAGAATTTTGCATTCTCTCATCCCTATTTCTTAATCTCTTTTTCATACTTTCTATCTCCTTGTCATTCTGGCTATATTCTGGGTACTTTATTAAGATCTCTTTTCCAGTTTATTAATTCTCTCTATTTGTCTCTAATCTGTAATTTAATCCTCTCATTTTTTTACTTCAATATTGTAATCTTTCATTTGTAGAAGCTGTGCTCCTCCTCTCCCCAAATCTTTCTTGTTGTTTGATATTTTCTTTTGCTTGTTCATTTTGTCCATATATCTTACATTCTGCCATGTATTGTTTCTGTTGATTCATGTTATTGGTTTAGTTTCTTGTGCCATGTTTATCTTTGAGAGTTTATATTTGATTGGTTTTAATCTTTGGAAATCTGGGGACCCAAATTAAGGATGCTTTCCTTCAAAGATTATTTGTGTTTGCTTCAGCCAGAAGGCACTAAGATTTGGGACCATTTCAGCTTCTTTCAGGGGATCCTTTCTTTTTTTTTTTTTTTAACTTAAATTCAATTAGCCAACATACAGTACATCATTAGTTTCAGATGTAGTGTTCAATAATTCATCAGTTGCATATAATAAGGGGATCCTTTCTTATTAAAGGAGGATCCTTTCTTATTAAAGGAACCCCAGGTACAGTTGCCACACTGATTAATATGAGCAACAAGACTTTTTTTTAACGTAAAAGTAAAACTGTATTAGAAATGCATCTCTTAGAATAAACAGATAGTTACTAAATTGGAGATGGGTGGGGGAATGGGTTAAATAAGTGATGGGGTTTAAGGCGTGCACTTGTGGTGAGCACCAAGTATTTTATGGAAGTGTTGAATCACTATATTGTACACCTGAAATATAAAGTTACATTGTATATTAACTAACTGGAATTTAAATAAAAACTTAAAAAATGCATCTCGTAGTGACATGACTGTTTAAAAACATGGTTCATGTATCTTGGGAAGAGTATTACTTATGGCTAGAATGAAGACTTGCTTTTTTTTTAACTAAGATTTTATTGACTGATTGATTTGACAGAGAGAGAGTACAAGCAGGGGGAGCAACAGGGAGAGGGAGAAGCAGGCTCCCACTGAGCAGAGAGCCCGACATGGGGCTCGATCCCAGGACCCTGGGATCGTGACCTGAGCCGAAGGCAGACGCTTAACCGAATGAGCCACCCAGGCGCCCCAAGACTTGCTTTTATTTAATTGCAGTGTGTTTTTTTTTTTTCCTTGAAGCTTTGAATTTAGCTCAAGGTTTGTTTGTACTGTGTGTGTGTATTTGGGCTTGGGGAGTTTCTTGTCGACATTTCTTTTATTTCTTTCAATCTCAGCAGTGCAATAAAAGTTATGCTTAATGTAAAAAGTCATTTTTTTTTTTGGTAGAAACAAGAGGTCCCTTCCCAGTATCCAGTCCAATATACTGCTGGAAGTAGA